TCTAGGTTCTGATCAGTCCGAGCAGATTTTGAAGGCTTTCAACCMAGAAATACCAACAACACAAAAAAAAGGTAACCAACCTCTGATGGAGAGCTTCAGTCGACCATCCACTTACTTCTGTAGTTATTTTTCTTGAAAAACAGTCAAGTTCTGAGCAGAGGAAGAAGGACCGAAGTGTTCTCAGACCTAGGTCGAATCTGTGTTCTCCATTTTCAGCCTAGAAAGAAGAAAAAAAATGAAGGCATGATCAGAGAGGAGATTTAGAGAGCAACGTTCTGTTCTGATACCATGTTTGTTCAGTAGCTACAGCAGTTCGGACCAGGAGAAGAGCAGAAGAGGAAGAATTTAGTACATAGTAGGCTAAACCCTACCATTCAACCATAATATGGATTAGGGGTTTAATTTAGTACAAAGACTAAACTGCCCCCACATAAGTATGGGCCAGGAAGTCTAATTAGAACTACCACATAAGTACATAAATTAAACTGATTGGAAAAGACTAATCTACCCCTCATTCGGCTAACTCTAACATCCTGTAAGAATTCTGGGATGTATTTCCTTTTGAGAAACAAAGATACCTTTTTGTGAGTGAGCAACCTCGATTCTAAGGAAATACTGTAGGGATCCTAAATACTTCATTTTAAATTGGGCAGCCAAAAACTCTTTCAACTTTTGTATCTTAGAAATCCAATTTCCTATAACTATGATGTCAGCCACATAAACTATCAACATTGCCACATTCTCTTGACACCTCTTGATCAAGAGAGTGATTCGCACTACTTGAACCCTACCCACTAAATTGCCATATGAAACCTACTAAACTAGGCTCTAGGAGATTGTTTCAACCCATTACAAGGACTTCTTTAACTTACACACCTCATCTTCATTCCCTTTAGCACAAAAACTTGATGATTAGATCATATACACTTCCTCTAGATCCCCATTCAAGAATGCATTTTTGATATCAAGTTGGTGCAACTCTCAATCAAAATTAGTAGCCAATGAAAGGATCCGAATGGAATTCATCTTTACTGCCGGGGCAAATTCTCAACACAATTAATATTGTATACTTGAGTGTACCTTTTGCCACCAACTTTGCCTTATACCTTTCTATTCTTCCATCCGCCTTGTGCATCATTGAAAACACCCATTTACACCCTATTGGATCTTTCCCTTCTAGAAGGTCCAACTCCTAAGTATTATTTTTATGTTGGGCATTTATCTCCTCCTTTCATAGCATCTTTCCATTAAGGAAATGAAAAAGCCTTTGCAACATTTTTGGGTAATGGAGTGTTTAATGGTGCATGATCTAATAGCCTTTTTGTGAGCAATAGGAATGCCAAGGTTATCCACACGGTCAAAAACAAAATTAGGAATGGATGAATCAATTGAGACAAGAGTACTTGGTTGAGATGGACTTTACCTCCTAGTGTTTGGGAGCTCTACATCCTTAGAACATTGCTGATCTCTACAACACTTATGTAAGAAGACACAAAAAGGTGCAAGATCCAGATTAGAAGGTGGACCTAATGAACTTGCTTCTCTTCCACACCACTCTCCCCCTAAGGAGAAGCAGGGAAGAAGGGTTCGGGCTCAAAGAAAGAGACATCCATAGAAGTGAAGTACTTCTAGGTGATTGGATCAAAGCAATGGTAGCCTTTCTGAGTGGAGGGTGTCCCAAGGAAGATTAACGGAATGAACTTAGGGTCTAGCTTGCCATGAGAAGGAGACAAATGATGAACAAAGGACTAGCACCCAAAAACCCTCATAGGTATGGAGAACAAGGGAGACTATGGGAACAAGAGATGATGAGGGTCCTTATAATTCAATGATCTAGAGGGCATACAGTTGATTACATACACAACAGTAAGCACAACATCCATCCAAAAACACTTTGGTACATTCATTTGCAACATCATTCCATGAGTCACTTCAAGAAGATGCCTATTTTTCCTTTCTGCAACACTGTTTTGTTGTGGTAGTGTTTTAGCACATGAACTACGGTGAATAGAACCATGGGATGCAAAGATTTTATTTAGGTCACCATGGAAGTATTCTTTGGCATTATTTGACTGAAATATTTGCACTTATACATGAAATTGAGTGAACCATCTGCTAAAAGTCCTTCACTATTTTAGGAACTCCATCTCTAGTGTGCATAGGAAATATCCGTGTAGCAAGAATAGTCATCACTCAAACTTATAAAATTTTTGTAATCACCCTCAAATGTTACAATGGTAGGTCCCCAAATAATAAAATATACAATATGAAAATTTCACTCTATTTCTTTAGGCTGAGTTTGGAAGGAGTACAAACGCAAATATGTAGAGTGCAAAATCTTATATTTTATATTATTTTGTATGTATTTACGCTGTACATATTTGCATTTGTACTCTTTCCGAACTGAGCCTTAAGGAAAAGATGTTCTACATTGTTTGCTTAGCTGATATGTTTGGCATTGGAAATCAGACATTGAACAAGACTTGAATAGAAACAGAAACAAAAACTCCAGTAACATGGACATATAACCCAGGCGATTATGCCACACAAAACTTGACTCTTATTTGATTGACTAAATTGGCTACTTAACTCCAATGTTGATGCCATAAAACCAGCTTTATTCTACCGTCCACCATGTTTCCTCTACCAATCGTCTTTCTGGAGGTTAAGTCCTGAAAAGCACAATAATGCAGGAAGAAACTTACCACACTTAAATAAAAAAGGATTATCGGACGGCTGGAACTCCAAGAAACAAGGTGAAGGACCACCTACAGCAACTATGCTACCTCAGAAAACTCCGATCACCCTCACCACACATACTACATGTAGTGATAGAGAACCTCCTCTACTTAAGAAGGGATCAGACAACCCCTTGACAGTACATACACAATGGCATAAGCGCCCCCCCTCAAAAAAAAAAAAAAAAAAAAAAGAAGCAAACTGTCACAGCATCTAACTGTCACCAAAAAACTCTTCTTGGTATTATGACCAAGGGATAAGAATAAAAGAGAGGGGCAATGAGGTTCTAATCAGTCCGATCAAGCTGTTCTTCCCTTCACAGTTTAAAAAACAAGACTTCTGGGTGCTGGAAAAGAAAATGTCTGCAATCCGAGTGCTGCTATCTCCCACAATTATGCTCCGATACCATGATCTCAACCCAGAAAACTGAAAAGATAGAGAAGATGAGAAGAGAAGAGAGAAGATTAGAAAGAGAAGTTCGAAGGGACAAAAAGAATAGCTTGGTGGCCTCCTTTTTATTATTTATAGTGGAACAAATCAAAACAATAAAAAGAGGATAAAAAGACATATCTCTGCAACATAACATAAAGAAAAAAAAACAATAAAAAGACTAACAGGAATCTAACAACATGGCCAATGCCATAATAGAAGCTACACTTGTGCTGTGATCCTCCAATTCTTCTCTAAATAAGACAGAAGTTCCATCTTTTTTACTTTGCATGAAAGGAAGATGTGGTTTATACTTTCCTTTTCCTTTTTGCAAAGGACACACCTGCCAGCATGATCTTCATGGCTTTGAGTTTATCTTGTAAGAGGATCTTCAAGGCTACCAATTGCACAAAACCTTCCATCCTTGGAGGCATAGACTGCTTTATTTTTTATGATGACGATTCTGAAAATGAAAAGAAGAATATATGTATTATGTGAGATTTTGAGAACTATTTATTTTGTTGGATATAAAAGTGATATGGCTTAGCTGTAAATGAATGTCTAACCTAATTTTGGATTCAAAATATTTTATGATTTATATTTGAATTATTTCTAATTAAGTAGGATATTTGTTGCACTAATTGATCTAAGCATGGAGTTTCAGGGGGATCCTACCAAGACAGTTGGAGTGATTGACAGTGAATATATTGTTCACCGTGGAATACCAACATTGGGAGGCGCATCTGCCACTAAGGTTTGAATACTGCCACTAGCATTATCTAACTTCTAAAATCCAGCAAAAAAGTCTAGAAAATATTCAGGATTAAGAAAGAAGAAGAGAAGATGTGGAGAAGAAGAGGAGAAGTAGGGCTGAAAGCAGAAGAGATTGAACAGAGTCACTCACCTCTAACTGCTGCCCTCTTTTATTAATGATATGATAATCTGTAAAGTTACAGTTGTGCCCCTACTAAAGTAAATAAAGAGAAAACTAAAAGAAGAGAAAAATAACCCTTCTGACTCATCTTGTAGAGAACACTGATGTGGGACCCACAGCAGTGGTCCCCACTGTGTTCGTAGGACAGCATGTGTAGTTATTTGTTTCAGTTATAGTAGTGTCAGTTTGTTAATTCAGTTGTTATTTATTTCAGTTTTTATTTACTTTATTTATCATGTAAGTACTAAGGGCAGATCTGTCCTTTCCTTTATGTACTGAACATAACCTATAAATACTAAGAGAGTGGCGGCGGCAGATGTGTT